TTATTTATACAATGGTGAAACCTACCTCTGAGACTAGTAGGAAAATCCAATATTGACAAAAAGCCACTTTTTTTGCCCTCCCAACTTGAACACATCATTTGGTAGATGGGCATATTATAAACACCAATGACTCAGACTTAAAATAAGAGGAGAAATTACAACCTGATTTGGCATAAAAAAGACATCACCGTTTACATGTAACACCACTGGAGTTTCTCCCTTGGAGCAACTTCCGCTGTCAGGAGTTCTTTCTCACTTTTTCTCAACATTTGCTCTAATTTAAAACCAAGACAAGGGGCTGGAGAGATGGCTCAGTGGCTAACAACCATCTGTAATTCCAGTTCCAGGGGACCTGGCACCTCTTCTCACCTCCTAAGGCTCCTGCATGCGTGAGGTACACATACGTACACTCAGGCATGCACACACATACAGAAATGCAAAATGAATATTGCTTTAACAAATCTTACAGAATTAAATTAGTGCACTTTCTTTGTACTCTTGTAGTTGTTTATTCAGATGTCTCACTGGTCTCTATCTCCAGGGATAAGGAGACTTTGGACCCTAGGAGACACTTGCAGTGGGATGAGAAGGGAATTGGAGAAGGCTGATAGCTGTACCTAGCTTAATTTTCAGCTTAATGCTTATTTTCTAGAGGAATTAGTAGTATGGGGTCCAGAGTTTTGCTTTTAAAACCTTTTGAATGTTATTTTGATTTGTGGTGTTTAGCTTACATTATGTCTGGTGCTCTTGGAGAGCAGAAGAGGGTATTGGATTGTCTGGAACTGGAGCTACTGGTGACTGTGAGCCACCATGCAGATGCTGGCTATTGAACCTGGGTCCACTAGGGGAGGAGCCAGGGCTCTTATCTGCTGACACAGCTTCCAAAATATACTTTTAAGAATGAGGTAGTGAAAGCCAGGCTGTTCATCTCAGTACAGAGGAGCTAGAAGCAGGAAGATCACTGTGAGTTTGAGGCCAACCTGGTCTACATAGTTAGTCCAGGCAATCCAGCGCTATACAGAGGGACCCCATATCGATCGATCGATAGATAGATAGACAGACAGACAGACAGCAGGCAGGCACAGAAAAGGGAATGTGTCAGAGTAAACTCAGATATACATATACATGTCACAACAACAAACCCATTTGTACTGGTTCTGATTTTATCAATTTGACACTAACTAGACTCATCTGAGAAAAGAGAACTCAACTGAGGGGATTCCTGTATCAGATTGTCCTGTAAGGATGACTGTGTGACATTTTTATCATTATGTGGGAGCCCAGCCCATGGTGGGTAGTGCTGCCTCTGGGAAGGTGGTCTAGGGTTGTATAATAAAGATGGCTGAGGGAGCTATGAAGAACAAGCCAGTAAGCAGCATTCCTCCATGGCCTGGGCTTCAGTTCTTGCCTCTCTAGGTGCCTACGATTCCCACACTGATGAAATGTGACCTTGAAGTGTAAACCTGTTCCTCCTCCAAGTTTCTTCCTCCTGCCTTGGGCCCCAGTGTTTATCACAGCCACATAAAGCAAGCTAGGAATAATGCTTGCTAATGGTTAAAAACTTTTTCAAAAGTGACAGTTCATCAAAGGAAAATTGTCTTGCCAGGCACGGTGGCACATGACTGTAATTCCGACACTCAGGAGGCAGAGGCAGGCAAATTTCTGTGGTCTGAGGCTAGTTTGGTCTATATAGCAAGTTCCAGGCCACTTGGGGTTACACAGTGAGACCGTGTGTCAAAAAATACAACACAAAAAGGTCACATCACAGGTTAATGTAAATAATATGAAAATGGTTAAAATGTAATCATCATGGAATTAAGTGGAAAGTGAATTTCTCAATGTATTTTCACATTAACAAGAGGTTATGACCAGGTAACTTGTTGGAAAACATGGACAATTTGTATTTCTAAAGAACAGCATCCAATATGTCACAGGAAATACTTTAGTGGTTATGTGGCACGAGAGCCCATCTTCATCTCACACAGAAGAGACAAATCTGCTGCTGTGATTACATGTGCAGACCACCATCATTCAAACACCACTCTTTAAAGACTACAACAAGAGAGATGGGCATCCTGTAGGTTATTTGTAAAATGTATAAAGCATAAAACACTTGAGCCACAGTAATGACCACAATCCCCTCTCCTTACTAATCTGACTGACTGTTATTTCTCTACACCCCATTATCACAGCCTTCCACACAATTAGCTGCTATGATTTCACCAATACAGAATTACGTTCAACACCGAGTCACTCCTATACGTCCTCCAAATTAAACACCGATTCTGCCAGAAAGCAATCTATCGCTACTGAGGGGGCATGACGCATATGAACATATTTAGTGGAATTTACCAAGTCTATAGTGCTCATAATCTTTACCAAGAAGACACAAACATCAGCTTATCTTTTAGAATAATGACTGAAGAAATGACAATAAAGGATAACAATATCTGTAAAAGCAAAATTTACCAAAGTAAAATTCCACAATTAGATGCATATGATACAAGTAGCTTGCCACATAAAAGAAAAAAAATTAGCAAACTTGTAAACATGATCTGACTTATGATTTAGCTTGGTAGTACCCACCTTTAATCTCAGCACTTGGGAGGAAGAGACAGGTAGATCTCCATGAGTTTGAGTCCAGCCTGGTGTACATATCAAGTTCCAGGAGAGCCATGGCTACATAAAAGAAAGATCCTGTTGCAAAATTCAAAAAGAACCAGTCTCCCCAAATGTATATACATATATACTTAAGCCTATCCTCTGATTAGATGGGAAGGTTAACATTTGTTATTCTAGAGGTAAATGGGAAACCATGCAAAACTGAAGCCATCCAAGAGAAAAATAAACATACACATAACAGAATGGATCTAAGTCAATACAGAAATAAAAGTGGTTTAGGGCTGGGGAGATGACTCACTGTGTTAAAGAGAATTTGCTTTGCAAGCGTGAGGAACTGAGCCTAAGTCCCTAGTACCTACATAAAAGGTGGGGTTTCATCACAAGCTTGCTTTTATTCTCAGAGGTATAGTAGGTACAGGTAGGTGATAGATCACATCTTCCTGACTGCCAGGCCAGCTCCAGGCTAGGACCCTGTTTCACGGGAGAAAACTGGTGTGCTAGAGCAAGAAAACATGTTCATAAGTCACTAACACATATACCACACATAATGTTTTGAGGTATTAAGATGTTGTTTATAATTAAACATAGATTAACAAATTTAAAGAACTGGATGCTAGAACATGGTCCTGATGTCTAGCTTGTATGAATGTACCCAATGTTGGTGTCACTATATGTGGCAGTTTCTTGGGCAATGATTATGAAGAAGTACTATTATCTTGTAGGTGTATGCACATGCATAAAATTACACATGTCCAAGCAATGTTACTCATGAAGACAATAAATAATGAGGAAATTATTTAAATGATTGATAAGATGAGTACTAAGTTATAATATTTGACCATACAGCCCTGAAAAAGACAGCAGATACATTCAATATTTTCATGATAAATTCCTAAGTGCAAAAAGCAAGTCACATGCCAACACTGACATGTTTGTAAAACAAATTATATGTGTGCAGGCATATGGATGTGTCAGAAAAAGTGCATTGAATGCCATCAGTCTTCCAATGCTGGTGAGTGCAATTGAATAGATAAAAATATGCTTATTTTCCTCCGAGTCTAATCTTGTAACAAAATGTGTGGTAGTTTCACATATTTCCTATGATTCTTACAGATCCAATATGCTTTCATCAAATGTATAAAAGAGGACTATTTACAAGATACTAAACTATGTTTCTTAAATTTATTTTTGTAGTTAAAATATAAGATGAACCTTGACATATATAACATCGGAGCAGCTTGCAAAGACTTGACATTACATATAACTTATACAAATTAAGTAGTAAGTCAACATCCATCAAAATAAATAAGCATTATTTACTGCCATAAAATTAGGCACTGTTTGTATAAAACCCATGTATCAGAAAGTAGGCAAAGTAGGATGTTTTTTAGAGAAAAGAAAATACTCTGAAGTGTGTAGAATAAAACTAAAAACAGTCTTAGAAATTTAAGTTAGGTTTTTAAAATTTATTTAAAAGTTTTTTTTTCATTTTACATACCAAACAGTTTCCCCTCCCCTCCCTCCTCCCGCTCCCCACCACCTCCCATCCACTGCTCAGAGAGGGTAAAGCCTCCCACGGGGATTCAACCAAGTCTGGCATATCAAGTTAAGGCAGGACCAAGCCTCTTCCCTCTGCATCAAGGCTGAGCAAGGTATCCCTCCATAGGGAATGGGCTCCAAAAAGCCAGTTTATGCACTAGGGATAAATCCTGGTCCCACTGTCAGGGCCCCACAAACCACCCAAGCCATAAAAATTTTAAACTGTTTTTTTTTTTTTTAATTCATGAAAAACAATGAGTTAGACATTCATGAGGCATAGGTAGATGGATCTCTGGGAGGTCAAGGCCAGACTGCTCAACATAGTGAATTTTAAGTTATCCCATGCTATACAGTGAGAGCCTGTCTCAAAAACAAAACAAAACAAAAACCCCAACACCAACAAAAGAAGAATGAGACTACAGCTAAGAATACCAGACCCTGCCATAAAACCAGTAATCTCAATATTCATAAAAAAAAAAAAAAAAAATTCAGTGGCCCTTTAGTCACAGTGATGGAACAATGTACTTTTTTGTTTGTTTGGTTTTTTTGAGACAAAGTTTCTTTCTTTCTTTCTTTCTTTTTTTTTTTTTTAAAGATTTATTTATTTATTATGTATAGTGTTCTGCCTGCATATATGTCTACAGGCCAGAAGAGGGCACCAGATCTCATTACAGATGGTTGTGAGCCACCATGTGGTTGCTGGGAATTGAACTCAGGCCCTCTGGAAGAGCAGCTAGTGCTCTTAACCTCTGAGCCACCTCAGGCCAAGACAAAGTTTCTTTATGTAGTTCTGGGTGTCTTGGAACTTGCTTTATAGACAGGGCTGGCCTTGAACCCGAAGAGGTTCACCTGCCTCTGCCTCCCAAGTGCTTGGGGTTAAAGGTGTGTGCCATCAATGCCCGGCATAACAAAATACTATTAATGAATATTTTTATATTAAAATATCAATGGACTGCTAAATAAAACACAAAATCAAATGAAAGATAAAAACTAACTCATGTAAAAAAATACACCATTCATTAAACTTACACACTAGTTCTGCAACACACTTGACAAAATTATTTCATTATACTTTTCTTTATTCTCATGATTTTATTTTGAGATGAAGGTTTCACCTCCTGGGAGTAAGGGATCCTTCTTCCACTTCACCTTCGTGGATTAGTGCTAACTTTTTACAATAAAAATTAGAAATCTGGACCCCAGACATGGACCTTTAAAAATGAACTGCTATTGCTGTTTGTGGAGGCAGACACCATACATGGAAACATCGAGAAAGCTAACGCCAGCAGATTACCAATTCAGGGTCAACTTGGAATAGCAAAATATGACATTTCATTCACAATATGTATTTTCTGGATAATGCAAACCAAGAAACTCCCCCCCCCCCCCAAAACCAGTATCCAGTCCTTCATATTGCTGGCATTTATCAGAATGAGACAGGAATACCCAAGGGACTTCTCCAGTATTTGCTTTCACACTTGATACATTACTGCTTTTTGTTATTTTTATAGCAGAAAATTAGATCTGGACTGTTTGAACATGTGTGCCAATAAAAACCAATTGTCTCTCTTTCTTTCTCTCTCTCTCTCTCTTTTTTTTTTTTTTTTTTTTTTTTTTTTTTTTTTTTTTTTTTGGTTTTTCAAGCCAGGATTTCTCTGCATAGCCATGGCTGTCCTGGAGATCTGCCTGCCTCTGCCTCCTGAGTGCTGGGATTAAAGACCAATGTTACCACCGCCTGACCACAATTGTCTCTTTTAATCAAACTTGCTTGTTTCCCCAACCTTACTATTTCTCAATTTCTTTTTTTTTTTTTTTTCGAGACAGGGTTTCTCTGTGTAGCTTTGCACCTTTCCTAGAACTCACTTGGTAGCCCAGGCTGGCCTCAAACTCACAGAGATCCACCTGGCTCTGCCTCCTGAGTACTGGGATAGAGGCATGCATCACCATAGCCCAGTTGCTTCTCAATTTTTGAGTTGAACCAAAAAATGTTCCCACATGTTTTCCAAAGATGAGTTCTTGAGATTCATTCTTCTAAATGCTATGAAAGTGGTAATGAAGACTTCACAAATTCTATATTTTAGAACTAACCTGAACTATATTCATATCTGTAAAAGAACCTGGGATAATTGAAAAATCTGGGAGATTTCTCATGTGTGAAAGATTTCTCTCCCAAATATTAACTTCATTGTCTGCTGGGGTCCTGAGAGAAACAAAGGCTGTCTACATTGCGTGCACAAGGTTTCTCTCCAGTGTAAGCTATTTCACATCTTCTTCACAATGAGAAGAATGCAGACGACTTTCTCTCATTGCTTGTAGCCTTTCTCCAATGTGTCTGCTCCCATGTATTTGAAGGCAACTACTAGTACTAAACGCCACATCCATTAAAAAAAATAGCTTTTCAAGCCTGGCAGCGGTGGTGTGCGCCTTTAATCCCAGCACTATCGAGAGGCAGAGGCAGGTGGATCTCTGTGAGTTCAAGGCCAGCCTGGTCTACAGAGTGAGTTCCAGGACAGCCAGGACTACATTGCAAAACTCTGTCTCAAAAAACAAACAAACAAAAACCTTATCTCTCTACTATGACATTTTCCCACATTTTCAGCATGAACTTTCCCTCTCCTGTAGTTAGATTTCTGTAAGAGCTAACCAAAAGAAGACTTTCTCTTGTTATTTACAAACATCTTTATTTGTTCTACTATGAATCAGTGCATGTCTTCCCAGACGGTATGATGTCAAGAAGCCTTTTCCACACTGCTTACAAACATAAGGTCTCTCTCCAGTGTGAGTTCTTTCATGTATTTCCAGTTGATTAGAAGCTATAAAGCCTTTCCCACACTTCTTACATTCATAGGGTCTCTTGCTGCTGTGGATTCGTTCATGTATTTGAACATAAAAAGCATAACGAAAGGCTTTCCCACATTGCTTACATTCATAGGGCCTCTCTCTTTTATGGATTTGTTCATGTCTTTGAACATAAAAAGCATAACGAAAGGTTTTCCCACATTGCTTGCATGCATATGGTCTCTCTCCAGTATGAATTCTTTCGTGTGTTTTAAGAGTACTGGAATAACCAAAGGTTTTCCCACAGTGCTCACATACGTAGGGCCTCTCCCCAGTGTGAATTCTTTCATGTGTTTTTAGAGAACCAGAAGAAGTAAAGCTTTTCCCACATTGCTTACAAATAAAGGGATTCACACCACTGTGAATTACTTCATGCTTTTGCAATTGGATCAAAAGCCTAAAGGCATTCCCACACTCCTTACATACATAAGGTTTTTCCCCAGTGTGAGTTCGCTCATGTACTTGAAGGTTACTAGAAGTAATGAAGGCTTTCCCGCATAGTTTACATACATAGGGTTTCTCTCCAGTGTGGATTCGTGTGTGTCTTCGAAGGGAAGTAGAGCGAGAAAAACTTTTTCTACACTGATTACATGTGTAGGGCTTCACACCACGATTACATACCAATGACTTCTCAACAGTGTAAGTTATTTTATGTCTGATAAGGCAACCTAACCTAACAAAGTCTTTCCCACACAGTTCACACACATAGGTATTTTTACCACAATGAATCTTTTCATGTGTTTTTAAGAAACTGAGATATGAGAAGCATTTCCCACATTGCTTACATACATAAGACTTCTTTGCCTGGTCATGTTGTTCATAGCTTTGATCAGGTCTGAAACAAGGAAGGTCTTCTTTGTAGTCCTTATTTTTAGAAGGTTCCTCTCCAGTGTGAGCACTTTTATGTGTCTGAAGGGACAGAGGAGAACGGGATCTGCCCCCAAACTCCTTATGTTTATACAACTTCCGTCCATATTCCTGGTCTTCATGAGGTTTGGGTCCTACCTGATGATTTAGGGGTGCACCTATAGATGACTGGCCAATGCTCCCTTCTCCACACACATGCTTCTCACATGTGGGAAGTCCTGGACAAGATTTCAGGTTCACAGAAAGCTCTGGAATACAGCTGAAGAGTTCTGTACTCTGAAGACTTTCTTTATATTCACAGAATTTCTCTACCAGTTGGCTTCTGCAAAACAAGGGAAGAGTACATGACTAAGACTTGGTTTATTAATGACTGAACAAAAGGAATGTTGGTTTCATGCTGAGTAAAAGTTTGTAACATGTTTAGATTGCAATGCTTTCCAAGACCACTTGAGGACAGTTAAAAGAGAAACAATGGTATTCATGTATGATGGGATATATCACCTTGAGAACATTAGGTATTCCCATAGCATTTTAACACAAATTTGAATTCACAATATTATACACATTCTGGATATACTTCAAATACACTGGATCCACCAGCATATTGGAGATACCAGCAAGGGGCAATGACCACTAGGGACAGTAGCAGATATGGTGTGATACTGACCTAAGCCTCAGAGATACCAGCAGGGTAGAATGACCACTGGGGACATTAGCAGATATGGTGTGATGCTGGCCTGAGCCTAGCAGACAATCTATGTGTGCTACCAGTGGCAGACCTGGAGAAGTGGAGCTGACTAAGGTCTTGGGAGCCCAGAAACAGTGAATCTCCACCAGACATGAGACACTGGATTGTTTACACTGTTGGGAGGCTGAGTTTGCCTTGATCTGATTATTACTATGCCCTCATTCCTCACTCTTGGAGTATGAAATTATGCAACTGAATTTTTGTACCTACACTTCAAAGACGCTTCACTTTTTAAAAAGATACTTGGATTTTAAGGGAACTTTGACTTTTAAAGTATTGAAATATCTTAAGACTATTTCTTAGTTTTTTAAAATTAATTTTTCTTTTCTTTCTTTTCTTTTTTCTTTTTCTTTTTTCTTTTTGGTTTTTGAGATAAGATTTCTCTGCATAGTCCTGGAACTTACTCTGTAGACCAGGCATCCCCCTGTAGACCAGCTGGTATTAATAGTAACATGACATCATGGAGACAAACAAAAAGGACAGCTTATGGCTTAATATGGGGTATTTGTATCTCACATTCACAAGGGGTCAATTGTGCTGGTATTTTGTCAACTTCACAAAACCTAGAGTCTTTGTAGGGAACTTCAATTGAGAAAATGTCCCCATCACACTGGCCTGTAAGCAAGCCTGTGGAGCTTGATTGACAATCAACGTGGAAGTGCTTAATTTTCTGTGAGCAACACCACTCCCAGACAGCTTGTCAGGAGGTGTATAAGAAAACCAAGTAAGCAAGACAGTGAGCAGCAATCCTCCATGGCCTCTGCCTTCTGTTCATGCCCTTGCCCTTGACTTCCTGCTTGAGTTCATGCCCTAATTTCCCTTGATCATGGACTGCAAACTGCAAGGTGAAATTAACCCTTTCCACATCAAGTTGCTTTGGCTCATGGACTTCATCCCAGCAATACAAAACCGAACTAAGACACTCTGTATGGCATAAAGTTTGTATATATGAACTATGATAACACATCACATGTGACATCATCATATTCTAGTTGTCCTCAAAATTGAAATGTTTGGGATGTACTATTGCTGATGCTTAACACATGAATTTTAGGAGAGAATTTCCTGAAAGTGGTTTGATGCTGGATATCAAATGCATCTTTTACCTCTTTGTAAAATGTTCTATCGCACCAACAGCACTCTGGAATATGGATATCTTTTAGGAAACAAATTACCTTAGTTTTCTCCAGAGATTTTCACACTCATTTACAGCCTTCTGGTTTTCCAACTTGTTTCCTAAAATGCAGAATCAGAGAAATAGTTAAGAATTATTATTTACAGAAAAAATATATAACAGCTAAAGTGAAGGTATAAGTGATCTGACACATGCACCCCCATTCCACTTCCCATATTCCATTTCATACATCAACACTGATAAGCTAGAAACACTGTCCTGTGATGGGCTAGAAAAGGCAATGCTCATGTGTACCTATAGCAGCCAGGTTCCTCAAGGTTTCCTGCATCACATCTTTGTACAGCTTCTTCTGGGATGGATCCAGCAGAGCCCACTCCTCCTTGGTGAACTTCACAGCCACATCCTCAAAGTTCACTGACTCCTAAAAGCACACACATATATTTCCCAGAAAGTGAGCCTCATGGTACTGGAGATGTACACAGATTTAATGAAAAGTTGACATGACACTATGTTCCACAAGTTGTCTTGGTCATCACACTCTACTGCTCATACAGACTAAGATTCCCCCAAACACAAATGCTAAAAGTAAACTGGAGCTTTCTGGGAAGGAAACATGAAGATAGCATGAGCTCTTGGGCACATCACTGTGCTAATTTCTCTTTCTGCACTGCGTCTTTCTAACAACTTTCATCACAAATTCTGATGGTTTAATACCCTCCAGGGAGTCAATATCAGCAGTCCTTAGAATGTGTGTGCTTAGAAATGCTGGACAAAACAGTTCTCCTGGTATCTGGGAACTGAGATCTCCAGTGATTCCTTCCCCCCATAGCTATAAGAAGTCAGGTAGATTTCTTACATAGTTGATGACAACTATTCTCAAGTTAAAAAAGCACATGGACAACATCTGTTCTCCCTTAGAATCCTTGGAATAATCTCACAGGCATCAGAGAAATATTATCTGGTTAAACCTGATTATTTTCTCTCTCTGATGACTCTTTATCACTTAGTGTGGTAGACACTACTTGTGCATTTTTTATAACTTAATTTATTATGTGTGTGCATGGGGGTGAATGAGCATGTTCCAGTGCTCTTATGGAGGTCAGCAACAACTCGTGGGAGTTGGTTCTCTCTTTCCATCTTAACAAGGGTTCTAGAAATTGAATTCAGACCATCAGGGTTGTACAGTAAGTGCTTTTACTGCTGAACCATCTCAGCAGGCCTCTAGTTAATACTTACAACTTGTTAGGAAGCTGAGCATATCTCCTGTGGTTGTACTAAAGGCCAGTATTAGAAAGTATATAGCTGGGTCCTCTGGACCATTCTTAATCAAACAGCAAACCAGACTCATGATGAATAATAATTTATTTCATTTGTGCCTTAAGTTGATTTCTATTGCCTTGATAAAACATGATCAAGTGCAATTGGGCAGGAAAGTATTTATATGAATGACAGGGTATAGTCGATCAAGCCAAGGCAGGAGACTCAAGAAAGACATGCCCACAGGCCAATCTGGTGGAGACAGTTCCTCAACTGAGATTCCCTCTTCTCAGGATGTCAAGGTGACAACCAACTGAACCATCTCACTGGCCTATCACACCATTTTTATTTGAGAATGTCACTGGACATTGGAACAATGGAAACATGTTCTTAGACAAATCTCTAATTCACCAACATGTCACCTCTATAATCTGTAAAACATGCTTTAAAGTAAAATACTTGATTCAATCTATTACCTGCAACTAACATCTGTAATAAATGTCTAAAACCAGTCCCCTACACAGGACACTATGCTCCCTCATTGAAGGTGGCCATGTCAGAAGAGCAGCAGATGGCACTTGAACTTTGGGAATTCAGCCCACCAAGAAGCAAGGCACTGATAGGCAAGGCCCCGAGGGCTTTGGCCCCAGAATGTCTCTTGCTCCAGCTGTGCCCTTACATGTTTGCCACTGCCTTTTTCTCTGGTATCTGGTATGGTGTGAATGGGTGTCGGGGATGCCCACTGTCCTTAATGTAGTCCGATTACTCATGAAAATATCCCATTCTGCTGGCCCTTTTTACCTGTGGATTATTATGAAGATAATTTCCTCTTAAGCTGTACTGTTTAACTGAGGTAACGATTTTGTGCAATAATAGTTTTAGTTTAAATAGAATTTTGATGATTAAGAATTTCTAACAAATACAGTAAGGGGTTATTATAGAGATTAGTTTAGTTTAGTGGGAAAATTAATAGAGGTAAAGGTAGGATATGGTGTTCTCCCAATCCTTGATAAAGTAGGAGCTGCAGAGTATACAAAATAGAACCAAGGAAGTGTCATACAGCTAGGACTTATGAGTTTCTCTTTCGGAGCTGTATAGACTGTGGCTTAAGTTAATGACTGAGGAAAAGAATCGAGTCCCAGGTGTTAGCTCAAGTTCTTTTTGATATTGGGAAATGTGTTCACAGGTTTCGGTGTGCACCATAGCTAAAACAAACTTTTTTTTCTATAAACCTGGTCTTTTACTATTTTTTTTTTTTTAAGATTTATTTATTATGTATACAGTGTTCTGTCTGCATATATGCATCCAGGTCAGAAGAGGGCGCCCTATCTCATTACAGATGGTTACAGCCATCTCTCCAGCCTTTAAACACTTGACTTCAGGTAACTAGAAAACAAAGAACTGGATGGTTAGTTGGACTGGACTCTAAAATAAAGTGAAACCACTAACCTGTTTTTCTGGCAATTATGAAAACTACCGCCTATATAAACAGTTATTCCTGAAAGGCTCCTGGTTTATGAGAAGTCTAATGTTTAACTGTATGTGGGTTCTTAGGGATAATTTGTTTTTCACCTGTAATATATAAAATGTTTAATCATATGAGGGATATGGAAAACATGCTGTTTTTTACTTATATTCATTGTAATCACTCACATAAAAAATAGAATGTAACCACATTGTAATTTTTATATTGCTTAGAAGATTTTGCTGGGGTATATAAGCTGTAAGGGAAAAAAAAAAGGAACAAAAAGAAAACACCAGGAAGTTGTGGAGAAGTCATCAGGAAAGAAAAAAAAAAGGAAACCTCAGGGTCGAAGAATAGAACAGAAAAAAACATAGAGTATAACAAAGACCAAAAGAAAAATAAACAGAAGAGGAACTTTATCCCTCAGAAAATAAGCTTGCGTGTTTCTTCTCTCTGACTCTGCATCTTATTCCCAGTCTCTCCGACCTGCAGAAGGCTGGATCCTCTGCACCTCCTAGAAGCCACAGGTTTCCAAGTAAAAAGCCCAGTGACAGATGTTAGTTACTGTTGGTCTGGGCTGTCTCAAAAGCTCCTTCTCCCCAAATGAAAACTCCAAACAGGCCCTCATCACAGCTCTTGGTTGCCCACTACATTGTTACTGCAGAGGTAGAAAAGTTACCACCACCCTTCTCTACCGGTGAACCCTGAGAACCACAGTAACAAGCAGCCTGGAATATAAGTCCAGGGTGTAATTGCATCAAGGTTATAGGGTAGGAGATCACATTCTGACTGGATTGAAGCCCCACTCCACTGGAGGAAAAACATATCTGTTCCTGTAAATCTGACCCAGAGCTGGAGAATTCGCAGTATTAATAACACTAACTTACTAAATTGTAACAATCTCAGTATCTATCTGTAGACTCATAGATAAATGCAACACTTATCCTTGTGAGAAATGTTTCTGTGCGCAGTGGACAGTGATTAATGCAGAAAAATTCACCACTTGTGAAAGTGAAACAAATAAGTGTCTATGGAGTGCTCAGGTATAAACAGAATATCTACACTATACCTCTGTCTCCCATCCGGGTCCCCCAGGCTCAGGAAACATTGACCAATTAGGGGCAGAATGATTGTAAAAGTCAGACATCCGGCTGAAACAGTATCTTCTAGACATGATAGGACTACAGTATAAAATAACAGCAATTATGTTCATCTGCAGGAGATGAAGCCAGTCAGCATTTTCAGCATGCATGAGGGATAAGCTGATAACCACTCACCACTGTTTGAAGAATTGTGTCTCTTGGTAAATCAACTGTGCTCCAGAACATGGCCTTTGAACCTTGTACATAAGAGCAGCAAAAACTAGCTGGATGGTGGTGTCCCACTAACCCCAGTGCTCTGGAGAAAGGAAGCAGGGGAATTTCTGTGAGTTTGAGGCCAGCCTGGTCTACACAGCTCGTTCCAGGACAGCCAGGGCTACACAGAGAAACGCTGTCTTGAAAACCCAAAAAGAGCGGCAAAAACTGGATTCAGTAGATGATTAAAAAAGAGAGAGAGTGAGACAGAGACAGAGACAGAGAGTTAGGTGGAGGATGGAGAAGTTAGGAGAGAGGGAGTTGTGTGTGACGATGTTAAAAATATTGTCTATATGATGTATGAAATTCAGAAACCATAAATAAAAATAGTGTCTTAAAAAATAAATAAAACCAGCTAGGTGGTGGTAGTGCATGCCTTTAATCCCAGCACTCAGAAGGCAGAGGCTGGTGGATCTCTGTGAGTTTGAGGCCAGCCTGGTCTACAGAGTGAGTTCCAGGATAGCCAGAGCTACACAGAGAAACCCCATCTCAAAAACAAAACAAAACAACAACAACAACAATAACAACAAACAAACAAACAAACAAAAATAACCACACAACCAACTAACCAAATAGATAAATAAATAGATATATAAACAAACAAACCAAACCAAAGGGTTACTGCATGTTTTTAGAGATCAGTGTTGCATCTAAGTTGTCTACTTAGTTTCTACTAGAATTCCTGTCTTTATCCATACAAGGTTTAGGTTAAAGACTAATTAAAAATTTTAAAACAATCAAGTTAACAGTGTAGCATAAAAATTGAAAAATCATAGCTCTAAGTAAAAGTTTAAAAATCTTTGACTTAGAGAATTATCTTTATGGCAGCTATATATATATATATATATATATATATATATATATATATATATATACTGTCTACATGTCCATATTATTCTGTATACATAGTATCAAATTTGTTTATGAGTGAGTGCAGGTGGAGAGGCAGCTCAATTGTATCTCTCCAGGCCCAGAAAACACAAATTTAAAACTCAGTGTGGCCTTCTTAGGGTAAACTACAAAGGGAATCCGATGTCTCCAGGCATATGTTGGGGACTGATATGGTCTTCACATTATACAGTTCAAAGAGAAGTAATGAAGAACACATACTTGTATCATTTTGATAGGGTGGCGTCTTTTTGATCATTATCACAATGGTCTTTGTCTTAGTATTGGTTTGCAAGACTGTCAATACAAATCCTTATCATTTAAAAAATAAGCTAGCTTTTGTAGGTCATCTTTCTCCAAGTTAAAACATTCTCTCCAAATTGAAATATTTGCCCCAAGGAGGAGGCTTCACCAGCCTCAGGTGGTAAACAGCAGGTAAAACGAAAGAAAACATATCCAGAAAGAATAAAAACTTGGAAGATAGCGGCAGATCCCTACCAACAGGCTCAAATGGAGTAAACTGCTGGAAGGCATGTTGGGACTGTGGAGCTGCATGGAAACTGAGTAGACGAGTCAAAGGGTGGCAGTGGCTGAGAGACAAGATAGAGATTTTCCCCTTAGCTCTTTTACTTTACTTATGACCCTGGTGTATATCTGTTCCATCAGATTTCCATTCAGTTAACAGACACTCTCCAGGAATCAACTGCGGCATATAAACTGCTCCAAAGAGAGCATGCTAGCCCCAGGTAGTACTGCAGAATCCGCCAGCCCTGGACTTGCAGAAAGCCAATGTAAACTAGTCCAGCCACTGTGACTGCTTGCTGTCTCTTCAGGCTGGGTCAGCATACCAGCTGCTTCCGACTGCACCCTACCATTGCCTGAATCTCCTCCCTCCTTCTCCCAGCCTTTGATCAGCATTCTGGACTTCCTGGGCCCCCAATTTCAGCTGAGAAGCATTTACAGAAGAGATTACACATTCTCTTACCATTAACAAAAGTCTGAGATGTCAGATCCAAAAGAAACACCAATACCCAAACTCCATAAAACAGTCCAAAGAGCTCAACCTGGAAAACAGGAGCATTTCTGGCCATGAGATCAAAGCCAGTATTCCTTAGGAACTTGGGAAGCCAGTTCCCCTCTACCAAAAGGAGGCATTTCCCTTACCTCTGGCAGGCGTCTGGTTGCCTGTTGCACTATTAGCATATGAAAGGCATGCTGGTGTCCTAAGTACCTGTTACACATTTCAAAGTCCAAGCTAGCATCTGATCCCCACCACCTCCCTTATCCTAAACTTCCTGCAGTTCATGGGCTTCCCTTCCTCCACTGAACCTCTAAACCAGCTATTCTTGCAGGGAATTTTCTCTCTCTATGCTATGATCCCGCTTCTCTCACTATGGTCTCTCTATTCTGTAACTCCATTATTCTCCCCTCTCTCTCAGATAACCCTGGCCATGTCCGGTCTGCTGGCCATGTCCAGTCTACTTTCTCTCCCTGCTCTGAACTCTTCCAGATGCCCCAGGCTGTTCTCTCTCAGGTCTACAATAAAAACCTTCCCTTTAATCATACCAGAGAACAGTCATGTGTCAGTTTACGCAGGCATCTCTGACCTGCACTGCTGGCACTTCTGATCTGGTCCCTACAGACTTCCCCTTAGCCCCGCCTCAGCTCTCTCTCTGCCTGTGACTTCAGGACAGGCTGTGATCTCTGCAGCCTCTTCAACCATTTCTTAGCCATTCTGTAACCTGGGCTGTCTATCACTGTGTGATCTGCTGGATAGTGTTGGTGATTCAAACCGGGATAAAGGGCAAGCGTGGTAGTGCACATCTTTCATCCTGGTTCTTAGGAGGCAGAGGCAGGCAGCTCTGTGAGTTCAGTGTCAGCCTCCCCTACCTACATGGGGAGCAGCAGGCCAGCTAGTACAAAATGGTTACAGTGTCTCAAAACACAAACAAACTAACATAACAACCATACTGGGATATACGGACAAGAGTGGTGGCACCCACTCGGAAGTTTTAGCCCCAGTGCTCTGGAGGCCCAGGGGAAGGGGACGGACTTGTCTGGTTTCAAACCCAGGACAAATGATCAAGGAGCCTATTTAACACATTGAAGGGGACCTGGCCCCAGGTTCTCCCAGCGTCTCACAGTCTACCTGTTACAGGGCCCTCCTGCCTCGCAGTCCAACGCCCCCTACCCAGAACTCTGCAGCCCTGGGGCTGGGCTGCCTGTGCCTTGCTCTCTCCTTTCTCCCTTCCCCTCCCCTCTCTTGTCACATGACTCAAGGGACCTGTCCACTCTGGACTTTACCAGATGTCCCTGGGTCTGACTCTGGCTATGCTTTCCCATCTATAATAAACTTTCTCCCCCACCACACCTAGAAGCAGTCATGTTTTTATTTAATTTCCACAACAGTGTTGTCTATATAGGTAGTTCCAGGCCAAGCATAGTGAGACTTAGTCTCAAAAAAGAGATAGAGATAGATAGATAGATAGATAGATAGATAGATAGATAGATAGATAGATAGATAGATAGATAGAGAAACGAAACAAAATAAACAAGAACAAAAAACAAACAAACAAGATAAAAGATTGGAATAAAGCACTTGGATTGCCACTGCCCAGGTAGGAAGCAAAGTCAGGCTTATTTGACAAATTACCAAAAAACAGTGCTGGTGAATCTGAGTAGTCAATAAATTCTCACACGGTAACCTGCCTGAAACAATGGACTCCCCATCCCCCCCCCCCCCCGCGCGCCCACCCCCAAATGGGAATTTCTTCAGGAATCTCATGCTGAAAGAAGGAAAAGATGCCAATCAAAGGGGGCGGGGGGGGGGAGTTTGTCTCTCAGAAAGGGATTTCACACCCTTCTAACACCTTGTCAGCCCCCCTGCTGGGAAGAGGCTGAATCCCAACAATGACGATCATTGGAGGGCGGGACCACACCTCGACCAGCACTGCTGGCATTTGCATGTCCTTGATCCTCTTTAAACATTCTCACTTCAGGACCCTGAAGACAGACTTAGGGGTCTCCCTGCATCTCTCTGTCCCTCCCTCCATTGTGCATTCACTGAATGAATTTTTTTCTGTTTTCCACTAATTTTTTGGCTCTCTTTATTGGCTTATTGAGAACAGACCTGATTTGGGGCACAGGTTGGGAATGTCAAGTTCAAGAACACAAACGTGCCTATTTGTTGCTCATATAACAGCCTCAAGGCTCTTGGGGTCATTGTTAGACAAACAATGTTACAGGATAAACAGAAAGGGAGCTGAGGAGAGCTTCTTTGGACAGTTAGAGCATAAGCCACAGGCAGCCATGTTGAAGGCCTGAAGGGAGAAACAGCCTTCAGTTCCCCAGGAGCGAGGGAAGTTACCTGCTCAAAAAGGTTTAGGGTGAGGACAGGAATATTAGTGTCCCCAGACCTAACCTAACAACAGGCAGTATGAAAGAGCAGCGGGGTGAGGAACTCTTAAAGACTAGAGCCCAGGAGCAGGGTGTGGTGGTGCACCCCTTTAGTGCCAGCATGGGAGCAGAGGCAAATTTCTGAGTCTTGTGTACAACACGGGTTCCGGGACAGCCAGGGCTACACTGAAAAACCCTGTCTCAAAAACCAACAAAAAACCCCAAACAAACAAAACAACAACAAAAAAAAAAAAAAAAAAAAAAAAAAAAAAAAAAAAAAAAAAAAACCAAAAAATACCAACCAAACAAACAGACTAGAGCCTTGACTCTAAGCTATCCTGCATCTAGTCAAGACAAGAGGGAAGGCAAAAAAGTGTTCACAAAGGCTTGATTTTCCCCACCAGAAGAGCGGTTGCTCCTTGGGTGGGTAAAAGCCTCGGGTCATGAGGAATTGTGTCGGGCTGTGCAGGGCAATAGCCCCGAGCCATGAGGAATTGCTGAGCCTGACCATTCCTTCCTCTTCACCTGCAGAAACAATATGCCTGGGTATCCAGTCCCAGCCCGACTCTACTCCCAGTCAAACCACAAAAACTAGCTGTAACTTCCTGGTGGCTACTTAGGTATAAATACAGACTCTCTAAATGCACTCACCCTTCACCCCGGAAAGGTTGGGGTCCCTTGCTGTTCCAATAAAGTGGTCTCAGCACGTTGTGATTATGTCTGGCTGCTTTTCTGCCTCATGTATTTTTACTTTGAGATTCACAGGTGCTGCATCCTGGGACACTGCATGGGATGCGCCGAGGTTTGGGGGAGAACGGGCCAGTGACCTAACAGTCACCATCCACACAGATTCCAGTTCCTCACTTTAGCACATGAGCCCCAGTTCAACTCCTAAGACTGCCCACTCCCAACCCTCTGGTGTCCAGACTGCAGAGACGCGGGCTGCGGGCGCTAAGCTAACAGACACGCCGCAGCACTGAGCCCTCAGGTAAGGACAGGACCGCGGCACTGCCTGCTGGTCCAGCTCCAGCACGCCGGGTCTGGACAGCGTGGCCCAGAGGAGCCAGACAAGGCTCAGCTGCATGCAGGAGGTCAAGTACCCATTACCGCCTCGAGATTACTGCTGCCTCCTCACCATACCTGGGACGAGTCAGCACGCACCATTTCCAGCCTCTGGGTGTCCTGGTGTCCGCCTGACGCTCCTGAAGTCAGTGAAGGAGACCTGGATACCCGGGACTGGGATATGGGATCTAATTCCAAAGAACACACACACGTGTCGGAGAGTGGGGGAGAATGGGAAGGAAAGTAACAGACCTGATAGGGGCAGATTGCTTCACCTATGGAGCAAACTCCTTGTTGGGCAGTACATGCATTCAAATAAGACCGTGATAGGCCAGCAAGCCTTAGGCCCGCCTCCTGGAGCCCGGGGGACAGGAGAAACAACTTTCACTGAGTAAGGTAAAGATCAAATTACAGACTCGAGGCCTCTCCAGATCCCAGAATCCTGCTGTCACCCATGCCTGAGCTCCATGGAGGGCTAGTACGGGGTGCTGAAGAAAGCTGGAAGGTGTGAAAGCAATTGCAGACCTTGGGGTTGGTGGAAAACGCCTTTCAGAGCTATAGTCAGCGGCTGTATCTGCCTCCCTGTGGCTGTTGTGGTCTCCCTCAAAGACCAAGTACCTTCCAGGAAGATGTCAGAGCTAGATATGCATCTTTGTGGCAGAGCCTTTGCTGAGCATATGTGAAGGCCTGCGCCCAGCCCTCGACCCCACTACACCTGCGTTAGAAATAAGACAGGGATAAAACTAAAAACAAAGTACTTGAAACAAATAGTTATTTGTAACTATGTTTACATGTGCCCGTCTGTGTGGGGGTTTGCTCATGTGAGAGCAGTGCCCCCAGAGGCTACTGGATGGAATCCTGCGTGTCATCCATGCTGCTGTAAAAATGCTCCTTGTTGTGGTGAAAACAACTGTTAGGGTTAAAATGGATGTTAGGATGTTGGTTGAGGAGCTGGGAAGATAGCCTGGTGACTAAGAGCACCTGCTGCTCTTGGGCAGGAGCAGACTGCTGTTCCCAGCACCCGCCCCTGGCAGCTCACAACTAAATCTATCTCTAACTAAAGCAGTGGTTCTCAGCCTTCCTAATGCTGTGACCCTCTAACACAGCCCTTCATGTTGTGGTGACCCCCAACCATAAAGTTATTTTTATCACTAGTCCATAACTGTGGTTCTGCTGTTATGAATCATAATGTAAATATTTTTGGAGATAGAGGTTTGTCAAAGGGTCACAACCCACAGTTTGAAAAACACTGCTCTAAAGCATCTACTGCTCTCTCTGACCTCTGGGGGTTCCTTCACACACATGTCCATACTCACACATATACATAAATAAATGTAAAAAAGTTAAAAATTTTGTTACAACTATACACAATTAGATATGTAAAAATACTTTTCTAAATGTTAGGTTGAATATGTTGAGGTTAGGGACACTGAAGAAAGAAATAGGAAGCCTTACTTCTGGACATGAGGTTGCCAAGCTGATCTCAGGAGGAAAGCCAAGCTGATCTTGACAGTCTCAGACTGGCATGTGTGAAGCTCACCCCACCCGGGAGTCACACACAGGCACTGCTGTCCTTTCACATGTCCTTGCACTGTTCTAGTTAATTTTATGTCAAGCCGACACAGGCTAGAATCATCGGAGAGGAGGGAACCAAAATTGAGGAAATACCTCGATAAGACTGGCTGCAGGCAAGCCTGTAGGGCATTTTCTCGATTAGTGATTAGTGGGTCAGGGCCCACCCCACTGTGGGGCCATGGGTTAGTGGTCCTGGATTCTATAAGAAAGCAGGCTGAGCAAGCCATGGGGAGCAAGCCAGTGAGCAAATCCCCTCTATGGTCTCTGCATCAGCTCCTGCCTCCAGGTCCCTGCCCTGTTTGAGTTCCTGTCCTGACTTCCTCTGATGATGAACAATATGTAGTTAAACCTTTCCTCCCCAAGTTGTTTGGCTTGTGGTGTTCCATCATAGCAACTCTCCCACTAAGTCACGCACCCAATGCATCTAACTGCAACAGACTAAATAGTGGGAATGGATGGTTTTAAAAAGCTTCTACCTTTCCAGGAAGGAGAACAACCCAGACAAACCAATAGGCAAGGAGGTAACCAACTGGAGCAGTGTCCAGATGGTTGAATGCCCATTTGTGACTAAATAAACTTGACGTTGCACTTAGGCATTTCCACTATTAGAAACTAATAAAATATGTGTAATAGGGTGGAGCACAACGTTACTACATTCACATATCTTCCTAAGTAGACTAGACAATAATATAGGGGGAAATGTTTGCTCAAAATGAAGTAATGGGAAAATGAATATTCTTTTGCCTTGTATTTTTAATGAGGACATATAATTCCTGTCAAAATACTACTTCAAAATGTGATTATAGAATAAGACAGGAGTGTTGTAGTGAATGTGAGGTCATCCTGGGCATCATAAGAATCAAGTTAGCAGCTATTACCTAGCTATAGCCTACTTCAAAGAAGCCAAGAGGTGCTGGAGAGATGGCTCAGTGGTTAGGAGCACAGGCTGCTCTTTAGAGAACCTAGGTTTAATCCCCAGTGCCACAACATGGAGGCTCAAAACCACTTGTAACTCCAGTTCCAGGGGGCCCAGTGCCCTCTTCTGGCCTCATCAGGCATCAGGCTCACATGTGCAGCACAGACATAGATGCAGGCAAAATACCCACTCATGAAATAAATCTTTAAAAGTTAGAAGTGTGTGTGTGTGTGTGTCGGGGGGAGACGAGAGAAAGAGAAAAGGAGAGGCGCTAAGGGCTTGGGGACACAGCATGAGACAACTGCCTTCGGAGGCATACAGCTTGCCTGGTATGCTGCTATTCACTCAAACTTTATTAAACAGTCCTTGAGGTTTCTTCTGGGTTCAATTGTTAAATTCTATGATTAACAAGACATAATCCCCAAAAGGGGAACCCAGTTTCCCTGGGAATACCACGAACTCAATATATAGTCCAGATGGTTCTGGAAACTTGGGATTCTTACTAGCTTCCCAAGTAGGATCACATTCTCGTGCCACCACACCCAGTAATAAGTGATACTCATGGCGGATCTCAGCCAGGGCATGGCTGATCACCCAAGACAGCACACAGACTCAGTGGGTGAGATTGTCACATTAAAGTCAGGTATCTCTTTTAATGAAACTTATTTCCCTTATTATTCTTGCTGTTTCTTAAATTTTGAGTTGAACCAGTACATATTCCCACAAGTTTTCTAATGCCAAGAGTTCTCTGAATACACTCTTTTAAGTGCTGCCAAAGTGATAATGGAGACCTCACAAATTCTTTACTTTAGGCTACCCTCGGTGAGTTCTTCCATTTCTACAAAAGGATGACTGAAAGAGTTGAAGAATTCCCTGTATGTCTTAGTCACTGTTCTATTGTTGTGAGGAGACACCATGACAAAGACAAATCTCGTAAGACAAATCATTTAATTGGGGGCTGGCTTACAGTTTCAGAGACTTATTCCATTATTATCATGGCTGGCACTATGGTGCTTGAGCAGTAGCTGAGAGCTACATCCTGAACCATAGGCACAGACAGAGAAAGAGTGACTGGGTCTGGCACAGGCTTTTGAAACCTCAAAGCTGACTCCCAGTTTCACACTGCCTCTAAAAAGTTCACATCTGCTCCAACAAGGCCATATCTGTAATTCTTTCAACAGTTCCACTCCCTGGTAATTGACCATTCAAATATATAAACATGTTTGGAGCATTCTTATTCAAACCACTACATTATACATGAAGGGTTTCTCTCCAAAATGACTACCACAATGTCTTTTGAGGGCCCCTAAGAACTAAAGGCTATCTACATTGTGTGCATAAGGTTTCTTTCCAGTGTGAGCTATTTAGCATCTTCTCCACAGTGAAAAGAATGCAGAAGACTTTATCACATTCCCTGCAGATTTTCTCCAAAGCGCTATTCTCCGTGTGTCTACTTCCATGTCGTTGAAGGGAACTTCTAGTATTAAAAGCCACATTGATTCAAAAGAACTGCTTCTCTAGAAATTTGTTTGACATTTTCCCATGTTGTTTGATTTCTGTGAGAGCTAACTAAGACAAGACTTTCTCACGTTATTTACAAACATCCTTATTTGTTTTACTATGAATTAGTGCATGTCTTCGCAAATGAGTTGAACTCGAAAAGCCTCTCCCACATGTCTTACATTGATAGGGTCTCTCGCTGCTATGGATTCGTTCATGTACTCGAACCTCAAAAAAGCGACGGAAAGCTTTCCCACATTGCTTGCATACATAGGGTTTTTCTTCACTATGCATTATTTTATGTTTTCGAAGAGAACTGTCAGAACTGAAAGCTTTCCCACATTGCAAACACACATAGGGCTTCTCTCCAGAATGATTCCTTTCATGGCTCTGAAGGGAGGAAGAAGAAGCCAAATCCTTTCCACACTGCTTACACTTGTAGGGGTTCGCTCCAGCATGCATTCTTTTATGGAATTGAAAGGAACTGTGATTATTGAAAGATTTCCCACATTGCTTGCACACATAGAGTCTCTCTCCAGTGTGAGTACTTCCATGTCTTTTAAGGTTACCAGAACTACCAAAAGTTTTCCCACAGTGCTTACACACATAGGGCTTCTGACCAGTGTGAATTCTTTCATGTGTTTTTAGGGAACTGGAATAAGTAAAGCCTTTCCCACACTGTTTACAAACATAGGGATTCACACCACTGTGAATTACTTTATGCTTTTGAAATTGATACCAAAATGTGAAGGAATTCCCACACTGCTTACATACATAAGATTTTTCCCGAGTGTGAGTTAGTTCATGTGATTTAAGGTAACGAGAAGCAGTGAAGGCTTTCCCACATTGCTTACACACGTATGGTTTCACACCAGTGTGAATCCTTCTATGTATTCGAAAGTAAGTAGAATCGAGGAAAGTTTTCCCACACTGCTCACACACATAGGGCTTCTTAACACTGTGAATTCCCATACGTCTTCGAAGACAAGCAGAATGAGGCAAAGTTCTCCCATTATGATTAGGCAGAAAAGGATTCTCGCGAGTGTCAGTTGTCTGATGTCTTAAAAGGTTACCAAACCGAGCAAAGCCTTTCCCACATAGTTCACACACATAGGGCTTCTGAACACTGTGACTCTTTTCATGCCTTTGTAAAGGACTGGGGTGAGTGAAGCCTTTCCCACATTGCTTGCAAACGAAGGATTTTTTTCCATGGTCATGTTCTTCATTCTTTTGGCCAGATTGGAGATAAAGAAGGTCTTTGCAGTCCTTATTTTTAGAAGGTTCCTCTCCAGTGTGAGCACTTTTATGAGTCCGAAGGGACAGAGGAGAACGGGAACTGCCCCCAAACTCCTTATGTTTATACAACTTCCGTCCATATTCCTGGTCTTCATGAGATTTGGGTCCTACCTGATGATTTAGGGGTACACCTAGAGATGACTGGCCAATGCTCCCTTCTCCACACACATGCTTCTCACATGTGGGAAGTCCTGGGCAAGATTTCAGGTTCACAGAAGGCTCTGGAATACAACTGAAGAGTTCTGTACACTGAAGACTTTCTTTATATTCACAGAATATCTCTACCAGTTGGCTGCTGCAAAATAAATTAAGAGTACATGACTAAGACTTGGTTTATTAATGACTGAACAAAAGAAGTGTTGGTTTCATGCTGAGAAAAAGTTTATAACATGTTTGGACTGCAATGCTTTCCAAGACCACTTGAGGACAGAAAAAGAGAAACAGTGGTATCTACGCATGGTGGGGTTTGTCTCCTTGAGAACATTTAATATTCACCTATCATTTCAACACAAATTTCAATCCAAATCTTATGTACATTTTGGATGTAGAATGGCATCAATCAAAATCATCTCGGGTTTTTTTGTTTTAAATACTTGCATGTCCATAAAATAAGCTGAGAATAAGTCATTTCCAACTTGTCCCCATGGCGTGTAGATAAATCAATACAACATTAAGTTTCAAAAATGTGTCCATTTACTGTGTTTATAGGTGTGCATGTGTGCTATGGTACATGAGAGGAGCTCAGGATAGCTTTCAGGAGTACTATTTCCTTCCATGTCAACGAAACAGGGTCTCTGTTAGAAGTGCAAGTGTCATTTCATGTGGGTTCTGGAAATTAAACTCAGGCTGTTATAATTGCATGGTCAGCCCTAATACCAGTTAGGCAATCTTTTGGTTCCCCTGTATAACATCTGAAATGATGAGGTGTGCTCTGGTTAGTTTTCTGTCAACACAATGTAGAATCATCTTGGAAAAGAAATCTCAGCTAAGAAAATGTCTCCTTTAGATCGTCTTTAGGCAAATCTATGAGGGCATTTTTGTGATCATTCATCAGTGTAGGAGAGACTAGCCAACTGGGCATGGTATCGCCCCACCTTCACCTCTGGCACCGGCTGATCCTAATTATATAAAAAAATAGTCTGAGCAAGCCGTGGAGAGCAAGTCAGTAAGGACTTTCTTCCATGGGTCTCTGTCTCAGTCCTTATCTGTAGGCCCTTGCCCTGCCTTGAGTTCCTGCCTTGATTTCCCTTAATGGTGAACTGTGATCAGGACATGTAAGCCCAATAAACCCTTTGTCTATACAGGAGAAGGTTACAGTGGACACCACAGCATATTGGCAATGCCAGTAAGGTGGGACAACCCCTCAGAACAGTGCATGATGATGGGGAACTGGCATGAGCCTGGAAGACTATCTGTGTGTGCGGCCAATGGGGACTTGGGGAAGTGGAGCTCTAAAGAATTTGGGAACCGCCGGGCGGTGGTGGCGCACGCCTTTAATCCCAGCACTCGGGAGGCAGAGCTAGGTGGATCTCTGTGAGTTCGAGGCCAGCCTGGGCTACAGAGTGAGATCCAGGAAAGGCGCAAAGCTACACAGAGAAACCCTGTCTCGAAAAACAAAACAAAACAAAAAGAATTTGGGAACCCAAGAGATGGTGTTTCAATTCCAAATGTGACACACAAATATGTATACTGCTGGAAGTTGGTTTTGATTCGCTTTGATTTTGACTATGCCCTGGTTCTTCACTCCTCGAGTAAGAAAGTATATAGCTTTTTTTTTTTAAAAAAAATATTGTCGAGACCCAGCATTTGGTAACTTTTGACTTTTAAAAGAAACACTGAGTTTTAAGGGGAACTTGGACGTTTAAACTGTTGAAACTTCTTAAGACTGTTAATTGTGACATCAATATCAACATGACATCCTGTGGACAAACAGAAAGGACAGGTTATGGTTTAATATTGAGGTGTTTGTGTGTAATGAAGACAAGAGGGCAATTTTGCTGGTTAGTTTTGTCAGCTTGACAAAACCTAGGGAACTTTAGTTGAGGAAATGTCCCCATTGGCCTGGCCTATAAGCAAGCCTGCAGAGCATTTTCTTGATTGGTGGTCAGTGTGAAAGTGTCTAGTTCACTGTAGGCAGTGCCTTTCCTAGGAAGGGAGTCATGAGGTGTATAAGAAAACAAACTGAGCAAGCCATGGGGAGCAAGACAATAAGCAGCAATCCTCCATGGGCTCTGCCTTCAGGTCATGCCCTGACTTCCCTTGATCATGGACTGCAAACTGCAAGGTGAAATTAACCCTTTCCACTCCAAGTTGCTTTGGCTCATGGACTTTATCCCAGCAATACAAAGCCAAACTAAGACACTCTGTATGGCATAAAGTTTGTATATATGAAGTACGATAACACATCACATGTGACATCTTCATATTCTAGTTGTCAAGATCGCTGTATTTGACATCTTCTAGTGCTGATGTTTAAGACAGAAATTTTAGAAGAAATTTCTCTGAGAAGAAATTGGTTTGATGCTGGATATTAAATACCTCTTTTACTTCTTTGTAAAATGTCCTCGTACAACAGCACTATGGAATGTGGCTTTGGGAAACAAATTACCTTAATTTTCTGCAGAGATTTTCATACTCATTTACAACCTTCTGGTTTTCCAACTTGTTTCCTAAAATGTAGAATCAGAGAAATAGTTAAGAATTATTAATAACAGAAAAAATAGATAACAGCTAAAGTGAAGGTATAAGTGATCTGACCATCACCACCCCCCTTTCCGTTCCCATATTCCAATCCATACATCAACACTGATAAGCTAGAAACACTGTCCTGTGATGGGCTAGCAAAGGCAATGCTCACGTGTACCTATAGCAGCCAGGTTCCTCAAGGTTTCCTGCATCACATCTTTGTACAGCTTCTTCTGGGATGGATCCAGCAGAGCCCACTCCTCCTTGGTGAACCTCACAGCCACATCCTCAAAGCTCACTGACTCCTAAAAGCACACACATATATTTCCAGGAAAGTGAGTCTCATGGTACTGGAGATGTACACAGAATTAATGAGAAGTTGACATGACACTATGTTCCACAAGTTGTCTTGGTCATCACACTCTACTGCTCATACAGACAAAGATTCCCCCAAACACAAATGCTAAAAGTAAACTGAAGCTTTCTGGGAAGGAAACATGAAGATAGCATGAGCTCTTGGGCACACAACTGTGGGAGTTTCTCTTTCTGCACTGCATCTTTCTAACAACTTTCATCACAAATTCTGATTGTCTATATTCTCCAGGGAGTCACTATCAGCAGTCCTTAGAACGTGTGTGCTGCTGGGTGGTAGTGGTGCACGCCTTTAATCCCAGCACTTGTGAGGCAGAGGCAGGAAGATCTCTGAGTCTGATGCCAGCTTGATCTACAGAGGGAGTTCCAGGACAGCCAGAGCTACAGAGAGAAACCCTGTCTGAAACAACAACAACAAAAAGAATGTGTGAACTTAGAAATGCTGGACAAAACAGTTCTCTAGGTGACTGGGAAGTGAGATCTAAATTGATTCCTTCCCCCATAGCTGTGAAGAATGAGGGAGATTTTTCAAATAGTAGATGGCAACTGTACTCCAAATTAAAAACAACTCCCTCTTCTCCCTAAGAATCCTAGCAACAATTTCACATTGTCGTCAGAGGGATGCTATCTGGTTAGAACCCAGCATATTCTCTAGATGATGATTCTGTATCATCTGGTTTGGCAGACAGTATTTGTACACCTTTCTAAAACCTTGATTTAGTGTGTACTGTGTGTGGAGAGTGTGAGCATGCCACAGTGCTCTAGTGAAAATCAGCAACAGCTTGTGGGAGTTGGTCCTTTCTTTCTAACTTAGCAAGGTCCTAGAGATTGACTTCAGACCATGGGGGTTGCATAGCAAGTGCCTTTACCTGCTGAGCCATCTCAGCAGGCCTCGACTTAATACTTCTTACAAATTGTTAGGAGCCTGAACAGATGTTCTGTGACTGCACTAAAGGCCAGTATATATAGCTGGGTTCTTTGGTCTGGTCCTTAGTCAAACATAAAACAGGACTCATGACAAGTAATTCATTTTATTCGTGTCTTATTTTACTTTCTGTTTCTGTATCACCATGACCAAATGCAACTTGGGCAGGAAAGTGATCATATGGATTACAGGTCACAGTCAATTATTGGGGAAGTCAAAGCAGGAGACTCAAAGAAAGAACATGCAGGCAAGGACTGAGGCAGAGAGCAGAGATGAGCACTGTACAAGCCCAGGCCCACATAACCTGGAATGGCAACACCCAAATTGGAGTAGGCCCTCCCACGTTAATTAACAAGCAAGGAAATGCCCTAAAGGCATGCACACAGGCCAATTTGGTGGAACCAATTCTTCAACTAAGATTCCCATTTTCTCAGGTGTGCAATTTGCCAACCAACTGAGCCATCTCACTGGCCCATTACACTATTTTTATTTGAGAAATTCGATGGGTAATAAAACAATGGAAAGATGGTACATGTTCTTAGACAAACTTCTAATTCACCAACATGTCATCTCTAAAATTTCTAAAACACATATTAAAGTAAAATACTCAGTCAGGCAGTGGTGACTCATATCTTTAATTCCAGCATCTGGGAGGCAGAGGCAGTTGGATCTCTGTGAGTTCAAGGCCAGCTTGGTCTACAAAATGAGTTCCAGGACACTCAAGGCTGCTAATACAGAAAAACCTCATCTTGTAAAAAATCAAAACAAAACAGAAACTACAAGGAAATAAAAGGTGGATATATACAATTAAATTTATTATAATTAGATGACTTTCCCTTGCCAAAATGCATCAAGACTGATAATGGTCCCGCCTACAACAGTACAGGATTTTCAAAATTCTGCCAAGACTTTTCTATTGTTAATAAAACTGATATTCCTTATAATCCTCAAGGACAGGCTATAGTAGAACGCTGCCATCGTACCTTAAAAACATATATTGCTAAATTAGAAAGGGGAGAACTAGAGGCTCATCTCTCCTCTCCACATTCTATTCTTTCCCTTGGTTTTTTTTCTTTTCTTTTCTTTTTTTTTTTTTTTTTTGTTGTTGTTGTTGTTGTTTTGGTTTTTCGAGACAGGGTTTCTCTGTGTAGCTTTGCACCTTTCCTGGAGCTCACTTGGTAGCCCAGGCTGGCCTCGAACTCACAGAGATCCGCCTGGCTCTGCCTCCCGAGTGCTGGGATTAAAGGCGTGCACCACCACGGCCCGGCTCTTTCCCTTGTTTTATATATTTTAAATTTTTTATCGGTGGATTCTGCTGGAGTATCCACTGCAGATAAGCACTGGAGGGCTCCTGTTGCAAATCATCCTCTGGTGCGATAGACGGATCTTTCTACTGGCACTTGGAGGGGACCCGATCCGGTGTTGGTGTGGGCCCGGGGATCTGTTTGTGTCTTTCTGCAGGACAATGAAGTTCCTCTTTGGGTTCCTGAACACTGTGTGCACCCTGTGGCTGCTGCTGAATCCCAACATGGCAGAAACCTATTGGGCCTTTGTAAAAAACTCTCCCCTTCTGATGCTAATGGGGATTGAGAGCCCAATATGGCCAGCCTTGGCAAACATTATTGTAAGCCTAGGAACTGTAGCCATGTGGTTGGATTCTTCAGAAGGTAATGTATGGTAACTTTTTTCAAAAATGCTGAGAATGTACCACACCTTGAAGATTAAGGATAACTCTGAAGGTCAATGACCTTCATTTGTTAACAGTAGCATGCCAGCTAAGCCTTTTCACATTTTGCAACCCTCTTCAAGCTGGTGTAGTACCTACTTTTCAGGAATGGCTCTGTGCAACATTTCTTGGCCTCCTGAAATTCATATAGCCTTTTTGAAGATACCTTAAAATTTGTGAGCCTGAATGTAGCCATTACTGAGACCATTAGTTCTGTTCCTTGTTTGCTGTTTTTGTTTTCTTTATGGTTCTCAGTTGTTCTTTTGCAGACCTGCCAGCCTAAGTAGTGCTGGGATCAAGAAAAATGGGCCTTGGTGGTTTGTGTTCCCGGAGCTGTGTCCATGCCAGTGGACCGTGGCAGTTAGACACAGATGCTGCTCACAAGCTCCAGAAGAGACTCTGACATCGCTGTTGCCGTTGTTGCTGTTGTAGCGGTGGTGGCCACTGCTGCTATTGCTTCTGGAATTGCGATTTCATAATTGGTTACTACAGCTAGCACAATGGAGACCCTGGCAGCAAAAGTCGCTACCACAGTTAATCTTTCATCTTATTGGGCATGATAAATTTAATTCCACTATTATACATTTAAATTGGCTTTAAAAGTTGTAAAAATTATTAAAACTCAAGTTCCATTTGCTTATGGGATACCATCCTACAAGACTCCAATTTGCAGTAAGGCTCATTTAAGAAGGGAATGGCTCAATTGCCTTTAGCCTCCTGGCTAGGGGTGGGTTAGGACTTCTGTTGGTCTTTTCTGTGTCGCACAGATTGCAAACCCAGCGCCACTTTGAGATCTTTGGCAGCAGTTACTCTACAGCTCATGTGGTTTAGTCTGTATGACAATGAGTATTCAGAGACGGGTAATGCTTGGGGGGTGGTCATCAACCTAAGACAGAGCACTTGTGTGGCCTGGGCAGGTGTCTCCATGACGGGTAAGGTGACCTGCTGACGTCCCATGCAACCTAAGTCAAAGCTGATTTTTTTTTTTAGTAAAAAGGGGGGACCTGTGGGCCCTGGCCCCCGACTGTGAGTGGCTGCCACCTTGCTTGCTGACCTTGACCAGATGTCCTCCCTATTCAGATTCCCTGCCGGTTTCCTTCTCACCTAAGGATCACCAGAGATATCACTGGAGTTTCTTTGTTCCTGTATTCTGCATTTGGTGTAAACAGTTTGATGCAAGAATGTAGAACATTCTCTAGTGAACTTCTGCCCTCCGGGGATCCTCCACTGTGCTGTAAGCCTGTATTTAAGGTTTCCTCCCTCTTTCAATAAATGGCATTTGGCATTCAGCACTTGGCTGTGGCAAATGACTCGCTGTCTCTTGTCTCTTATTTTCTAATCCGCAGCCCCTCGCTTGGACATGGTGAACGGGTATCGGTAACGCGGGCATTACCACTACATTCCCTAATTTCTCAGGGTCAGTATTCATAGATGGTTATGGTATCAGTGCTGACTAAGAGAAAGCTACACCAGGAGGAGCTGAATATAACCATGATTATGTTTTTTAAAAAGAATATAAAATTCTTTCAATTTAGAAAAGCTGCAAGGGGCTGGTAAGGGAGCTCAGTGGTTAAGAGCATGGGCTACTCTTCCAGCGGATCTGGACCCTTTCCTAGCACTTATGGCATCTAACTCCAGTTTCAATGTCCTCTTCTGGTTCCACTGGGACTGCACACATATGGAGCAAAAACATTCACGCAGGCAAAACACCCATAAACAAAACAAAACATTTAAATTTTTTTTTGTTTGTTTTACAGGTATAAAAGAAGATAAATAGCTGGAGAGGGAGTCCAGTGGATAAGAACCCTTGTTGTTCTACCAAAGGACTTGAGATCAATTCCTGCACCCATATTAGGCAGCTCACAACTGCCTGTAACTCCAGTTCCAGAGGGATAAGGTGCCTCTTGCCTCTCTGGTCACCCACACTCAGCCTTAAATTGAAAAAAATCGTTACAAGAAAAGAAAGAAAGGATATTCCAAAAGGATCAAGGGAGCCGGGCGGTGGTGGCGCACGCCTTTAATCCCAGCACTCGGGAGGCAGAGGCAGGCGGATCTCTGTGAGTTCGAGGCCAGCCTGGGCTACCAAGTGAGATCCAGGAAAGGCGCAAAGCTACACAGAGAAACCCTGTGTCGAAAAAAACCAAAAAAAAAAAAAAAAAAGGATCAAGGGAAGTGATCATAGACACAAGAACAAAGATATCTCTAAAACTGGATAATAAGTTACTTCCCTGAAATTATCTGCTAACTCAGAAACCACCAGGGAAAGAGAAACGGAGGCATGTGCTTGTTCGTCCCTCAATGTTCTTGGGGAAAAGATGGCTTTGCATCCTAAACAAAGACAGAAATCACTGTTCTTAATCAATAGTTAAGAGGGCTTGCTGATTTTCTAGAGGATGCAGGTTCAAATCCCTACATCCCCTCCAGGTGACAACTCCATGTGTTATTATTTGCTGATTCAGATTCATTGTGCTTCTAACGTGGGACATGTACTGCGAACATCCTTCCTAATAAAACATTGTTTTCACTCAACAGGGCTTTGCAAATCCAAACTTTTAGCTTCAACAATAAATACCTAAACTGATCAGAAGACAGACAATACTTAACTAAATGGATTTCTTTTTTGTCCTCTTTACGCTCTAGGCCAGTGATTGCTGACCAACACCCAACCTGATCCTAAAGTTGCCCATTCCACATTGAAACCCCAAGGACAGGATGGTCTCAGAGAAAACCGCTTTCTGATCTAGCAGCTGACTATGACACCCTCCATGACACCAGATCCCCACCTTCTCTTTCCTTCTGTTTACCCATATTTAGCTCCGTTTCCTCCTCCCTAAGAGAGAACAGCCTTCTTCACCTAACCTCTAGAGAAGCGTGCAGATCTACCACTAGGAGCCGACTCCTTACAGCAACACCCCTTTCACATACAGGTATGGCCTGGCTCTATCACAAATTGGCTTTTTAAACAACATTAAAAAAATACAGCCAAGTGTAGTGGTGCACACCTTTAATCCCAGCAGAGGCAGGTGGATCTCTGTGAGATTGAGGCGAGCCTAGCCTACAAAGGGAGTTCCCAGACAGCCAGGGCTGTTTAAAATAGAGAAATCTGGTTCTAAAAAGCAAAAAAACAAACAAAAAAGGACAGTGACAATTATGACAGAGGTCAAGTCCACTTACCCAGCCCTTTTCAGTGAGTTTGGCCTTATCAGAAACACTTGGAAAATTAGAGATTTATTTTTAGTCCTAAGAATCACAGAATTAGAGGAAGCATCCTTGAACCTGTGACACTCCTAGGCACCAAGAGGGGAAAGCGGTGGGGACTGCTCTTGGCTACTGTTGTGCAGAATATCACCGTTGTGACCGAGCCTCGCCTGCGCTCTTGACCTGATTTGTTACAAGCAGAGCATCAGGGCCTGGAAAGGGGGACTGTTGACAGAAGAACAGCTTGTTTACCTAAGTAAACACCCACCACCTGCCAGCACACGAAGACACATTAACCGTATCAATAAGTAACGACACCTGAAAATATAACAAATCATAACAGAAATGCCAGACACAGGAGCTTTTGATCCACAACAGATGGAACCCCCTTCCTGAGACTGTAAAAGACCAAAGTGTGGCAGGCATGAGTCATGATAGGGTCAGCTGTCAAAAGCCGGAAACTTCTCACCAGCCTGCTAACATGTCCCCCACCCCAACCTTGCTCCAGCAGTTTCTTCATGGCCAAACACTCAGCCCACTTCAGACTCACCATCCGACAGCCTGCCCTCCCAGGGCAGGTGCATTCAGCATCTCTGACCCGCACTGCTGGCACTTCTGGTCTGGTCCCTACAGACTTCCCCTTAGCCCCGCCTTAGCTCTCTCTCTGCCTGTGACTTCAGGACAGGCTGTGATCTCTGCAGCCTCTTCAACCATTTCTTAGCCATTCTGTAACCTGGGCTGTGCATCACTGTGTGATCTGCTGGATAGTGTTGGTGATTCAAACCGGGATAAAGGGCAGGCGTGGTAGTGCACATCTTTCATCCTGGTTCTTAGGAGGCCTCCCTAGATCTCTCTGTCCCTCTTTCCATTGTGCATACTGACTGATCCCAAGACATTCACTTTCCCAAAATTTGGCATTTAGACAAAAGTCAATATTCCCTCAGGAACTTGATAAATAGTTCATACCCACTAAAACTTGAAATCCTCATTATTGCTGGCATCAGGATCCTATGGGTCTTCTATTAACACATGCCTTTGGTGGCTATTACCAAGGTCTATGCTAAGCTCTAGGCTCCTTCTATTCTTACTCACAAGTTATGTACTTCAAAGCCCTCTATCCCAGCTCAGAGGCTCCTCTTCTCCCAGGCACCTCTTCCCTTAAAACCTTGGAACATTATCTCCCTTAGGCTCTTTGCTTTCCTGAGACACAGCCTGGGCAGTTTGTAATAAACGTTTTCCTCTCTCACCTACAGAGCAGCTGTTCTGGCTTCTTGACTGCGACCATTTCATCCACATACACTGACGTGTCTTTCTCTGCTTTTCACTAATGACTTGGCTCTTTTTACTGGCTTATTGAGAACAGGTGGCTGGGTGTGACTTGGGGCACAGGTTGGGAACGCCAAGCTCAAGAACACAAAGGAACAGTTACAGGACAATCAGAAAGGGAGCTGAGGAGAGCTTCTTCGGACAGTTAGAGCATAAGCCACAGGCAGCCATGTTGAAGCCCTGAAGGGAGAAACAGCCTTCAGTTCCCGAGGAGTGAGGGAAGTTACCTGCTCAAAAAGGTTTAGGGTGAGGACAGGAATATTCAGTGTCCCCAGACCTAACCTAACAACAGGCAGTATGAAAGAGCAGCGGGGTGAGGAACTCTTCAAGACTAGAGCCCAGGAGCAGGGTGTGGTGGTGCACCCCTTTAGTGCCAGCATGGGAGCAGAGGCAGGCAGATTTCTGAAGTCTTAGGCCAGCCTTGTGTACAACACGGGTTCCGGGACAGCCAGGGCTACACAGAGAAACCCTGTCTCAAAAACCAACCAAAAATCAATCAAACAAACAAACAAACAAAACAAAAACAAAAAACCCGAAGACTAGTGCTTTGACTCTAAGCCATCCTGCATCTAGTTATGACAGAGGGGAAGCAAGTAAGTGTCCACAAAGGCTTGGCTTTCCCCACCTGAAGAGCGGTTGCTCCTTGGGTGGGTAAAGCCTCGGGTCATGAGGAATTGTGTCGGGCTGTGCAGGGCAATAGCCCCGAGCCATGAGGAATTGCTGAGCCTGAGCCTGACCATTCCTTTTCTCCTGCTGATATAATATACTGGGGTGTGACGAGATTTTAGGGGAAGGACGGGGCAGTTATAGAGCCAGTGCCCTAACCCTTACCATCCACGCAGCTCCGTCTCCACCACGCCACCCCACCCCGCACATGAGCCCCTGCCCAACTCCTAGGGCTGGTTCCCCACGACCTTCTGGCGACACCGCCCAGACCGCAGGGACGCGGGCTGCGGGCGTCCCACTGACCCCACACACCGCAGCGGCGAGCGCTCAGCCACGGACTGGACCGCGCGGCTCTGTGTGCTGACCCAGCAACATCCAATCCGACCCGGAGCCAGAGGAGACTCAGCTGCCTCCGAAGGCCGGTTCCCACGGCAGCCTCCAAACGCAGCATCCCCCTCCCCACATGCACGATGCCGGCAGAACGTACCATTTTCAGCCACGGAGTGTCCCGGTGTCCCCCTGCCGCTCCTGCTGTCAGAGAAGGCGACTTTGATTTCTAGGCCGGGGATTTAGGACACACTTCCTGAGAAGACAAACATGCCTAATGTTGGGGGTTAAGAAAACAGACCTAGGTCAGGCAAATTCCCTCACCTAAGAAGCATACTCCTCATTGGACAAGTCAGGCACTAAAGTAATAACCTTTATCCTGATAGGCCAGCAAACCCTTGGCTCAGGTCCTGGCGCTCTAGTGACAGGAGACACAAGTTTTCCTAGGCGAAGAAGCGAGGAAATTACGCGCTCTAGGCTATAGCTTTCTGTCTCCAACTGGGGGAAAGTGCATTTAAACGTAATTTGTCCTGGCCTCCACTTGCTAATAACAATTCCTATTTCTTCCGCCTCAGTGGGGTGATAGCAAGTGTTTAGAGAATTCCAGACTCAGTTGCCACGGAGACAACGAAAAAAGGTGCCTTGAACAGACTGGTCCCGCTGTATTTGGCTGGAGGGCCTCATTAAAGGAAATCCCCTGTCCCCATCGTCCCACAGCCCATCAACCCACCACCAACCTGCCCAAGACTTCAGGAAACCTACCCACAGAATTTACAAAAACAGGCAATCTGGCTTACCTTTCACCCTGCAATTTATAGGGGGAAAAAAGACAGAAGGACAGGCAGGCAGGCAGAGGAGAGGAGGGGAGGGGAGGGGTGAGGGGAGGGGAGAGGAGAAGAGAGAAGTAAAGAAAAAGAAAACCAGTTTGTCCAGAAAACCAGGTTCTGGGCCTGCTCAAGCCAGGACCTCCCCCTCCCTGCTCTCCACTGCAAAAATTGATTCTCAACCCCCGAATGGTATGTTCAGGTTTGGAGGCCTCTGTTTCTCAGACTAATGAAAGTCTGCTCGCTCTCGCTGTGTGTTAATCAGGGTTCTTTAGTATAACAGAACACACACATACCTATATGTGTATATGTGTGTATATACCTGTATATGTATGTGTATATGTGTGTATATACATGTATATGTATGTGTGTATTAGGGGATTTGTTACAGTGATTTACGGGCTGTGGTCTAGCTAACCCAACAATGGCCAGCTATGAACAGAAAGTCCAAGAATCCAGTAGTTGCTCAGTCCACAGGCTGAATGTCTCAGTTGGTCTTCAGTAGATGTTGGAATCATGAAGTAGGCTCCAACGCCGGTGAAGGAATGGACTTGCTAGCAAGTCGAGAGCAAGCAGGCAAACAGCAAAAGCTTCCTTCTTCCATGTCCTTATATAGACTTCCAGCAGAAATGCAGCCAGATTAGATCTGGGCTAAAGATCTGGATTAAAGACACGTCAGCCTGCCTCAAGATCTGGATTAAAGGCATGTCTTTTCTCAGCTCAAAAAACAAAGCAAGAAGGAAAAAAGAACTAGATTATAGGTGTGCTTTTCTACCCAAAAGATCCAGATTAGATGTAGTCAAGTTGACAACCAAGAGTAGCCATCACACGATGTTTCAAGGTCAAACTGAGTCTATTCTTTCATTTTCCTTTGCTAACATATTTCTTATTACATTGGTATTTTCTCACCTCAGAATTTGGAATGACAGAGGTTCTCAAGGTGTTCTCAATGCCATAGTCAACCAATAACATAAAAACACACAAACAAGCAATGGCAATTTTTCCATTCCATTCCATTCAGGCAATTATTCCACAATGGAATTTATAGTGAAAAACTGGCTCAAATAATAGCAAAAATTCCCACACATTAAAAATTAGACCCTTATATGTGGTGGTGCAGGCCTTTGTCCCATGCACATGTGAGGACTTGGGACAGTCCTGAGCTCTGTGAGTTCAAGGCCAACCTGTTCTACCTAGGTAACTCTGGGACATCTAGAGCTCCATAGTTAGACCTTGTCTGAAAAAAATATAAAAATAAAAAGATGTACTGCTCAGTTTGACTGCATGATTCATGATGTTGTAACAGGGCCCCAGACTTTTGTTGGTCCCCAGACCTCCGCACAACTGAGTCCATGATGTACGTACCATTCAGGCTGTAAAACTCAGCATGGACAAAGTACCACCAAAGCCCATAGTTCTGGGAGAGTCTCTAAATGTACTACCCTTGCTTTTTGGCTAACTGTTTTGTTAACGGAAGTATATCAACATAGGACATGGTTTTTATACATAAAAGCTCACCCTGAGAAAGGCTCAGGACTATACTGGGACCCCAAACACCTAGTATAGTCACTGGCTGGCTAATAAAGACTCTATTAGCTTAAACTCATGTTTGAGCAGTCTTCTCTGGTGAATACCCCACAACAGTGTCTCTTACAAACATTTACAACTGACCTTCCAATGAATGACACATGGCACCTGGCCCTAAGTGACCAGTGTAAACAGACTAAATGTGGGCTAGAAAATCCAGCCTCTCCCCCCAAATATAGACCCCACACAAATGGTCCAGGCATAAGACTAACCATCCTCTCACTCAACTGCTATAAAAGCCTTCCCTGTCCTCTCAGTAACGTGCTGAGTTCTGTCCTCTGGCCGTCAGCTGGGGCTGCACAGCAGTGTATTTAATCAATTGTCTAATAATCTACTTTTCTCTTTGTTAGGTCCAAAGAAGCCCCCTCAAGATGGCAGTGCTGGTAACAATGTCCTAACGGAAGGACTTTGGCTGAGTAAACAGAAGGAGGTTTATTGGATAAACTAGGCTTGTTTCTGTTTACCAGATAAACTGATCTCCTAAGGCAGGTTTCTGTTTGTCAGGAAGATCCCTTAATCCATTCCAAAGATCAACTACCTTGGACAGGAGCATCTACTTCCCAGTCATTCCTAACAACTCCAAGACCCCACATGTTGGCTGCCATAGAACATCTGCCAGCTTTCACTCCATTTTGCTTCTGTCTCCCTACCTTTCCCAACCCTGAGAGATGGCCTTAGCAGTGCGACCACCGATAAAGCTTTTTTTCCACCCGTGGAGTGAGTGGTCCAGTTTGTGGTTTCACTGCACCCAGGCTTGCACCCAGGCTTCAAAGCAGTTCATATGTTCCTGGCCTGTCAGAATTGTCCACTACGGGCCAAATAGAAGGTGCCAACATTGAAAAATTGAACCAAGAGAGGAAAGAAAGAAATACCTGACGTCATCCAGAGAAGTGGGCTGTTAAGAAAAAAGGAAAACCCACACTCACAACGTCCCCTTCCCAAGTTGAAGGGCCAGATTGACATTGAAACATCCTAGAGAGGATCACCGGTGAATGGCCAAGGGCAATTAAGGATGGGACTCTAAAAGACTGAAACCCCCTCTTCTCCCCAGTATCAGAGGTGGATCTCTGTATCTCCAAACCTACACAACTATCAAAGGGACTTCTCACCGTGGGAAAAAGTCAGCAAGTCAGGTGTAGCAGTGCACACCATTAATCTCAGCACTCAGGAGGCAAATGAATCTCTGACCAGCCTGTTCTATAGAACTAGTTCCAGGACAGCCAGGGCTACACAGAAACCCTGTCTCAACAACAACAACAAAACAAACAGAAAAAAAAAAGAAAAGAAAGAAAGAAAAAGTCAGCAGAGAGGAAAAAAAAAAAAGAATAGACTCAGTTCAACTCCAAATCAAAGAGAGCAGACTTTTAAGAGTCTGAGAGAATGGCAGCCCAAAACCCTGAGCTCAGTATCCCAGGGTACCGGAGAGTGAGCCTAGCTGAGCCTGTTTGTGGTGTAGAGTAGGGAGGGGAAGGGCCTGGCTCCACCAGACACAGAAACTGCTTTTGGTTTTTGTAAACTGCGAAGTGAGAGATACGCCAGGTTTCAGGAGTTTTTGAATCTCTGGGCTCCAGGCACACAATGCAGCTGGCTGCTTTCCAGGAACTCCATGGACAGCACATTTCTTGAGGCCTTGGGCCTGTCACATGGCCCTGGTTTAGGGTAGAGGTTTCCTTTAAACATTCTCACCTATACTTGGGAATACAGACACCTTTTCTCCACAGGACCCACACTGTTGAAGGCTTTCCCTAAGCCTGGCCTTCACAGGAACTATGCATTTCAAATCAACACACTATCCAGAAAACACCGCCACCCCAACAGCCACCACTTCAGTCACATCTGCACCCCAGTTTCCTGTGTCCCTACTTCCCTTTCATGTTCTACACACAGACACTTGCATGGAGACGAAAAGTTAAAAAGGCCAAAACTAAGGAGCAAAATTCCCCTCTTAAGAGCAGACAAGCCCTGAGGGATTGGAGGCTGATCCAGCAGTTTGTGATAGCTTAGATAAACAGTTAGTGCCTGGTTCGTGAGGGCCTTGCCTCAGTTTGAATACTGAAAGACACAAGTCAGTCCTCAGGTGTGAAGACTGTGTGTGCGTAGTACAGGGCCTTGGAGATTTATGGGGTGAAAAGGGGCGGTATGAAAGATTACATTTACAGGTCAGTTCCCTTCACATCTCAAAGTGACATCTCAAAGATACCAGCGTGGGAGCAGAAGCTTCCACAGGTGTTATCAGTCAAGTCAACTTTTCTGCTCAGGGGTTCTCAGTCCACTGGAGGGTGGCTTTTTGGTTCTTTTTTTGAAGGGGTCTGGGGTGTGGTGGTGGTTGAAATGGTCTCTCTCTCCACAGTCCTGGCTGTCCTAGAACTCACTCTGCAAACCAGGCTGGTCTTGAACTCAGAGAGAGAGAGAGAGAGAGAGAGA